TGTGTTGGGCTCTCATCCCCCACCGCAGCTATTTCGGATGCTCAGCATCTCCTCGGGAAGCCCATCCCTTGGCATCAGCACGGGGAGGGCTCCCAGGTGACCCCAAACATTCCACCTCCCATCCCTGCTCGGTGCCCGTACCTTGACGGAGAAGGCGAGTGCCACGAAGCCCAGGCAGCAGAAGTTCATGTAGATGGTGTTGAAGATGGACCAGACGAGGTGGTCGCGGGGTGGCGAAAAAACCGCCTCCCGCGTGCGGGACGGGGCGGGTAGGTAGTCCCCCCGCGGGTATGAGGTGTCCATGGCCACGGAGAGGGGCACCCCGCAGCTCCCTGGCTCCACCAGCCTGACTGGGACAGTGAGGCAGGGCAGCCCCTTTATATGGTCCCCGTCCGCGGCACGGCCCTGTCTCCTCTATATATAAACCCGAGAAATTACAGCCCTTCTTGGGCTGCGGTTGTCAGACACGCTCGGCTGCCAGCTGGGAGAAACAAACGTGGTTTTGCGAGCCCTTTTTATGCCCAGCCTTCCTCCCGCGATGAGGAGCACCGATGGCTCCAGCGTGACCGAGGGAAGAGACCAAGTGCTTGAGGATAGAGCTGCGGGATGACTTTGGAACCGAGGGACCGTCACCCTGCGGAGCCGCGACAACCCCTCCGTCTGATGGCACCCAGACCTTCAGCCCAGTCCCGCTGGGTGGTCTTGGCTGGGAAGACTCTTCGTTGGCAGCGTGTCGGGGCTGCCAGATGCGTTAAATGGGAACGTAACGCCAAAACACGGAAGAGCTACTTCTACGGGGTGCCCTGAGCGGGAGGAGATGGGGCTGTGTGGCAGGACGGGGTGTGTATGGCCAGAAAAACACGGGAGATTTTTGTCTTTCCTTCTTTTGCCGTGCCGAAGCGTTTATCTGGGGTCTGGGCTCTGCCCCGCGGTGGGGATGGAGGCAGAGGGATGCGGAGCCGGCAGCGTGACGAGGTGGCTGCCCTGAAGATGCACAAGGACCCTCTTCTCCTTCCCG